TGAGGAATATGCAACCGCATAATAAGCTAACCCCTACATTTTTGTCCACGTCTGCAACGGTCGTAGAGAAAAACGGTAGTATGGCGACCGTTGAAACTCCTAGTGGACAAAGGTACAAGCGTAACACTTCCCACCTGAAAACCTTGAACTCATCCGACAACGGAATCCCGGAAAATCCAAAGGTAACTGAATTCGGAAGTGCCGTGTTACCAACAGTGAGTGCATCGTCGGATGCAAGGCCCCGCCGGAAGATTGTACGTCCTAAGCGTTACGAAGATTATTCAATGGAATAATGTCCTTCCGATATTTTATCATTTTCAAAATGAAATAAAGAGAGATAATGTTGTGATGACTGGCAACCTTGTAACCTATGGGACGATTAATAAAGTGACGCTTGCAAAGTTAACACGTTTGTATTTTCTCTTCGTTGATATTCCAACAGGTCCAATTCGACGAACTTCGCTTGCTCAGCTGCTACTGCCGGGGCCACCCCGGTGAGCACTTCCGATACGCCAACGGCTTCGAGGTACAGCTTCACCCGGTAACTCTAATTTTGGCACTCGCTTGCATTCCCGCGGAACTGCGGAATTCCTTGCGCCAATTCCTTCTGTGTGGTGCCCATAACCTATTGGGTTTCGGTTACCGGAACGGGACTCGAAAGAAAACGGGAGAACTACTTGTGCTAAACTAAATTAGAGCTTTATTGAAACACGTCCTGTTCGCACGGTTTACACGTTAGGAATAATGAATAATTAGTCCTCAAACAAATTCGTTGCTAGGGAAAACACGTTGCTAGGCAGGATGGTCTGAGCAAGCCGATTGCTACTTCGATAACACAATCGAACCGTCAAAATGCACCGCTTTGCTCGATTGGAACAGCTTTTTTTCAGTTTTGTGGTGACAGTCGTCCATACTTCAACTAGAGGGCTTTAATATGCATCTATACCGAAAAGTTAAATCTCATAGGCACCAGAACGTCAAAATCGAAGACATGTTGGATTCAAACTGAGGGTGTGTTCCATTTGGAAAATTTTCACTTAAATTTAACACTTCAAAAATTAATTAAGATGTTCGAAAATCCTACTGTTGTTGATCGACCGATTTTCGAGAAAGTGTTTTTCAAAGTTGATTCCTTGTCGGTCAGAAATTAGTCTACTGGAAAATCAGGTTTATTTGAAAATTTTCCATCCGCCAAATTTAAGTGAAAATTCACCAAATTCTGGATCAACAATAGAAAAGGGCCCAGCAGCATTTGTAAACAAACCGTTCACAAATCGAAGGCCACCCACACAAACCAACACCATCATCGTGTAGGTAGAAATTTCCCCTATCCGATGATGGTGTTGGTTTGCGTGGGTGGTCTTCGCTTTGTAAGTAAAGGGCTTTGGAACGGTTTTTTTTTACAAATGCTGATGGGCCCTTTTCTATTGTTGATCCAGAAATAGAACACAGCCTGATGGTTAGAAAAAAGTACACACCCTTTGACTAGTTTGTCTCCTTTTCTCCTTCTAATGTTGTCAAAAACAGAGGAGCAAAACAACCCAACAGGAGTAGTAAAGTGTGGGAACCAAGGGGTATTCAACTCTGCACACCTTAATCCGTGCCGAGCGATTGAGCAGTGCCGAAAGCTGTGCCAAGCGCTATGCCGAACGTGGTTTCAATCAAAGTGTGCCTATCAATGTGTCAATATTCCATGAGTTTGGCAACCCCGAGAGTTATGACTTGTTTTTATTGTGTTTACATTCTCAATTTATCAGATGGATCAAGGCAAGCATTCAGCTTCCCTTCATTCTCATTAGTGCGTTTACGGATCGGGAGGTGGAAGAGGAAGTGGAAGCCATCAAACATGTACGGTGTTCAATCCGTCCACCAGATTCCGGCTCGATGTCCCTGCTGCTGATTCCTTGCAGATGTACAGAAACGAAGGCGTAACCCGATCTATGATGGATGAAATTACAACCTGCTCCCTGTCAAATTATTCACGACTAAAGTAAATCAGAATTTGAACGGGCGAGAATTCAATCCCACCCTAGGAGCAACATCCTCGGGCCAGTTTTTAATAATGCCTGAAATCCGATCGGTAGACCACCCATCGTTCTGGGGTCTCTTAATACGAACTAGTTTAACAGAAAAATGATGCATCAGCAAAATTACTGGATGTGGTGAAGGGAATATGCTTGATGTCGGACTCGTGGAATACAATGTAATTGCATTTTTAACTGCAATGATCCGTTCCTATAAATCCTATACTATTGCACTAAGGCAATCGTACTCCGATCCAGGTCTGATGGAATATGTGGGGTTAATACCTATTGGCTTCCTCCAGCAGTACTGGGACTTCATTCAAAATTATATGGACATTCTTTTAAAGTCCTGTGGATATCCCATCGTAGCCAATATCAATTGAGATCAATGACTGTGAACGTGTATAAACTGACGTTCATTATCTCCAGGTTTGGTTTTGATTTCCATGATCACGGGATCCAACTAATTTGCACCATAGGTAGCTTTTGACCAACCGTTGGTCACTGGAGGTAACCAGTTTCAGCCGTCTTGACTGCCGTATCGACAAGACCTTCTCGACCGGTCATGGTGTGGATGAGCTAGATTGAAGTCAATCTCGAATAGAAGCTGTTCTGGAGTAAATCACGAGCCGCTGGGATTTTTGCTGTGAATTGGATGAGACGGACTGAGTTTTGCTAGATTTAAAGAGATTCACGGTTCAGAGAATACTTACAGGATTTTTTCGGAGCGTTTACCAGTTTTATACATGAAAAATTCTCTCACTAGCTTCACTTTTTAGTAAACAAAGTATTCAACCGAGTAGTCAACCTTAAACGCTGTACAGACTGGAGAGTAATAACATGTTATAACGGTTGTCAAATAATTGCAACACAGAAACCACCATCAAGATAGCGCTATAAAATGTTAAAACTCTGTAGTCTGAACGTACTATTAGCAACGATTGGCAAAACGTCAACACTCAACGGTTATGCCATTTTATATTATATCGTTTGTGCCCTACTAGTCAAAGTGTGCCCTATCGTTCCGAACAGTGTGCCGTGCTGTGTTTTGGCTACGTTGAGTATAATCATATTTACCTACTTTTGGGTACAACTAACTTACTTTTGGGTAGAAAGCTAGTCTAAAATTCCATAAGAATTGCACAGAAGTAAATGAAAAATACTTTGACCCGCTTTACCTACTTTTGGGTTCTTTCACTATAGTGCCGAGATGAGTGAAAAGAACTTACTTTGGGGTACTTTTTCCTTACCGTGTAGGTGTTTTGACAGATGTAGAATATCCCTGATTATAACTCAGTCAGTAAAGGCGCAACTATAAAGTAAGACCATGCTGGAGGCGGCTGGAATCGGTTCCCGGTCTTGGGACCAATGTCTGATTTTATTGTTTACCATCACAAACAAGGAGTAGCGCTTCAACCGAGTGTAGATGAATTGCGTTTGTTTTGAAAATCTTCACTGTTACGTACGAGCGAAATGAACAAATGAATTCATCATGCATCAACGAATACGCGTTTGTTGATATTCACCAGTGCTTGATTATCCAACCCAAAATTGTAAAAATCAGAAGCGATCCTCAAATGTAAAATAATCAAATTCATTTTGAGCAAAAACCTAAACCTAAATATTAACATCAATTCAGCATGAGGCAATAATTTGCAATCGATCAGTGTGTAAAAACCAACACGACACGTTCTTGAGCGCTATATTTGTGACAAATTAAAATAATCATTTAGCATTTGATCCTCAAAATCATCCGCACCAAGATGAAGACGAATATTAATATTGACAACATAGAGGCGATAATGAACATCCAACCAGCCTTGATCAATAGAATGCTGTTATGTCAAAATTCAAATTCTTTCAGGTAGTTGGTCTATCTGTTTAAGTTGTCTTCATTTTCAGTCAAATTGAGTGCAAGGTTGCAAATACTCATTTCAGCTAAAATAATGTTTTTCGGAATAATAAAACCAAAAGATGGTATGATGACATGTTTTACTTGTAACTTACAAGAAGAGGTTACACAGTATGCGTTTAAAACATAAAACCTGTAAATTTTGCTTTCTATGAGTCACAATCAGCGATTTGCTGATCGCTGAGTGAGTGAGTGAGTGAGTGTGTGAAAAATCGCTGATTGTGACTCTAATGAAGTGAAATAAACAGGTTTAAAATGTCAAACACATTCTTTGCAACCTCTTCTTGTCTCTTACCTATTCAAAACATGATCATAGCATCTAATTATGTCATAATTGAACAAAACATTGTTTTAGCTGAAATGAGTATTTGCAACCTTGGTTAAAAGAAACGATTTTTATCAGCACTGCTTGAGACCCTCTGGGCAAGGATTTTTCGGGTTGGAAATTTCTCGGCTTCCCTGGACATAGAATATGATTGCACTTGCCACATAATAATACTAATGCAAAAACGGTACAGGCATAGAAAGCTCTCGATTAACAACTGTGAAAGTGCACAAAGAACACTAAGTTAAGAGTTGGCGTAAAGTCCCCAGTGGTAACATAACAGAACCAACAGATCAATAAGACAACGGCAGGCGATGGAAAAACATGATCCCAATGCGCAAGCGGTACTGCCTTCGTTTTGTTTATAAACAAACCGTTCGACTGAGTTCGTACGAAGCACGTGCTTACTCGGCCTACTTCGGTTCTTTGTGTCGGTAAAAGTTGCGCGCGCATTTTTCGCAGAAAAAATGGCGACTCGCATTCCTTTTGTCACATTTCGCTGGATAACTTTTGGCGAATTGAATAGAAACGTATCCTACATCAATCGAGCACTGCTATTTGCATTGATAAGGTTAGAAAATTAATGGAAAATTAATTTCCCTCCCGTTTTCACCCGACTAAACCCATCCCAGTGACGCCATTTTCCTCCACAATCACAAATCGCCGATTAATCGATTTCCAGCCAATTACGATCGATTACGACGCCCGATCTGGGATAAACAATCATCAACGGACTTACCCACTGGGATTTCCCGCTTGCCTTCGGCAAGCCAGAGCAGCAAACCAACGATAAGTAGCCGGAATCGAATCATTTCGAAAAACTTTCCAATATGGCGTCCGAATCTCCTTTGTCGTTTTCTTATTGTTTTTTTTTTCTTTTGTCACCTGTCACTTAAAAGTGTAGCATTTTCGCTCACTTGAAACGGGTTTTTCGCTGTGGTGTTTCGCCTGTGACGATCACCGACCGACTGATCGTGAAAAGTGGTTGGGAAAATGCTTTTTCACGACAACGACGGCGTCGCTGGCGTCGTGTCGCATTTAATATGCGAAGGAAATAAGGAGTAGACGGTGAAGAAGGTGGAAGACTTTGACCGAGTGACTGAGTTTTTATGGCAGAGGCCGCCGGGAGGCAATGTAGGATGCAACAAACGATGCAAAGCCGGTGATTTACTCGTAAGGAAGAGACGGAAAGGTGCGACAGAAAACATAGGAGTTTATTTATAAATCCGAATGTTGGTAAACACTGATGATGAAGCTAAATGATTGCATATGGTGCAGATGTGCTTTTGCTCTTAGGCATATAGGAGTGAAGGTTAGATCTACATCTGCCTGGCTGATGGGTATTTAGAAAACGGTCATCTAATATGATTGAGATGAATGTATTTTGACCTACTGGTGGATGGAAAGGATAAAACTCAATTGGATGGTTATTTCCGGTACAATTTTAATTTGAATTTGAGATAGAGAAGAGATGGTAAATTGATCCCACTCGTCCTTCGACGAATATGATGCATACATTCTACGTTGGCAGGATGAATTTTCAAAAATAGTTTTGATTTGGAATGTTTTTATTCGTCCGACTCGGAGACTCTTTCATTCTCACTCACAAAGAACAATGCACCGGGCAAAGCTTCTGAGTGGTGCAGTATTATGGAGACGCTTGGTTACCCTCTGCAAAAGAATGCAATTTCCTGTGATATAATTAATCCGTGGCTTTAGGCTGAATAACTGAATAATGTTAGTTCTACTTAAGAAACTGGAGTGGCAATTCGCCGATTTAAATGCATTTCATATAACAAACCGGTTTAAAATACTTCAAAGTGCTCCATTTATTATATGTTGCAGAATTACGATAAACTGAATCTCATTTGAGTTTGACTTTTATCTGTGTTCAAATAACAATTTATCAAATAGTTATCAAAAAGTCAATTTAATTTATTCATAGTGAAATATTTTAAACTCACAACAGAACTGATCTATCCCCGTTAACACAATTGCATAGGGTTAAATTTAAATTTGCAAACATTATTAGTGACGTTTGGCGCACGCTTACTAGCGGGTGAATCGCCGTGTAAAGTTGTTTTTGCGCCGTCTGGTGAGAACATTTTGAGCTTTTGTCCACTAAATGACACATTAGCGCCACTTGGTGAGACATTATTTTAGTGTGATGAACACCATCCAATAAGGCTTATTCACTTGAACAACTTTGCCGAGCATGAGCATGAGCATGACCATTGATGACGATACATTTCAGTAGTTGCTACTCCGTGATTGACCAGATTTAGTGTACAAAATCCAGAGAATTCTTATTTTTGAGGTCAATAACGGTGCCGGCCACGTCCTTACGTTACGTCACGGCCACGTCATCTGGGAGGGAAAGGATTGTTATTTCAACAGCCGTTTTTACAAGATACCGAGTCTACCTTTGCATCTCCACGGTTGTTACGGAAAGGACGTTTTTGTTAGTGGGAAGGGTAAGTTAGATTTGGATTCACATTGGGAAGTGATGCGATCTGTTAAAGCCTGTTAAGCAAATGACGCGACCCTATCAACACAGTAATGCTTGGGTTCTAACCCACGATCTTCTGCTCAATAAGAAAAAACAGTCGCTCTTAGGCCACCGTGCCCCTTACATCACAACAAGCTACGACCGACGATCGTTCATTATCGGTTACAAGAAGCTATTGCAATGACATGAAATCCTCCAAAGTAGTTAAAGAACCGGATCAGGCGTACGTCACATTGGTCTAAATCAAGGGGTGAGACAGGTTTACTCTGAGTTGCTTTTTTGCAGCGAGTAACTCGCGAGTTACTCATTGTACCTCAACATTTAATAGGCGTTCATCGATTTTTTTCTCTGCTTACTCCATTTACGCTTAAGAATATGCTTCTCATATTAAACGTCAGTTTTGTTTTTAAACAAAGTAAGCCCAAGTGTATCCTGAGGCTTTCGAATAGCTTGAATACACTAGAACCTCCATTTACGAACCAAACCGGGGGTTCGTAAATCGAATTAGTGCGTAAAAAAAACTTCGTTATTTGGGATTTAGTTACTTCGTAAAAAGAAAACTCGTTATTTGGGATTTACTTCGTAAAAAGAGGTTTTTGAAAATATTGTCAAATATCTCACAATATGGGTATTTTTTGAATCAGGGTGACGTGAAAGAACTAAAAATCTATGTCGGACGCCATTTTGAAATCCAAGATGGCGGCATCCGGTTCATGAAAAACTGAAAAATACTGTCAAGTCCCCACAATATGGGTATTTTTGGAATCAGGGTGACGTGTAGGAACTGAAAATCTATCAGGGTTATTCTGCGTGGCGAATGAAGTGAGACGACAATTGTCACCTCGCAGTCACATCACTCTTCTCACTCGATTCCGACAGTCGACTTGGGTGACGTGAGAGGTTCATTATTATGTGAGTTGCAAAGTGACTCGGTGTTCATTCGCCGAAATGTCAGTTTGCTTTGTTTTTCGAAAAGGGCATCATGCATAAACACATCATTAATGTCGTTTTCGTTTTTGCGGTGTAGTTACACCGGTGCTACACTGCCGTACACCGAAATATTTTAGGGTGTAGATATAGAATGCACCTTTGTTTACAAACAAATGATGTTGAGCTGTCAAAGACTCGCGCTTATTCCTGCTTACACTACACCAGTGCTACACCGCAAAAACGAAAACGACATAAAATAGATTGAAAATGTTCGGCCTGTGCTAGGCCCTTTCAGTTTTGGCTGTTTGTTGTTTTCGATTGCGGACAAAGATTTGAAAAATTGGGATCGTTCCAATCGTGTTTTTTTTTTTAAATTAGGTTCCAGGTTCCAGTGTATTCCTCCATTTACGAACCACACCGGAGGTTCGTACATCGAAACAGGCGTAAAAAAACATTTGGGTTTTACTTCATAAAAAAGATTTTTTGAAAGTTTTGTCGAATACCCCACAATATGGGTATTTTTTGGTATCTGGGTGACTTGTAGGGACTGGAAATCGATGTCTGAAGCCTTTTTGAATTTCAATATGGCGGCTTCCGGTGCGAGAAAAACTTAAAAATTCTGTCAAATACTCATCAATATGGGTATTTTTGAAGTCATGGTGACGTTTGAGGACCGGAAATCGATGTCTGACGCCTTTTACCCTTCTTACACTTGAAAAACCGACTATCGATCCGAGGCCCGGAGGGCCGAGTGTCATATACCATTCGACTCAGCTCGACGATATCGGAACATGTCTGTGTGTGTGTGTGTGTACGTGTGTATGTGTGTATGTGTGTGTGTGTGTATGTGTGTGTGTGTGTGTGTGTAACGAAATGAATGCTCACGTTTCTTAGCAACCGCTCAACCGATTTGGACAAACTCGGTGCCAAATGATAGGTCTTGAGGTCTCATTGAACGCTATTGAACGGTTTTGGAATCGGTGAACTGGTTCCGGAGATATGGCCGGAATAAGATCCGGTGAATATGGGCCTTCACGCTGGATTTAACGGAAAACGTATCAAAACCATCATATACCATTCGACTCAGCTCGACGAGATCGGAACATGTCTGTGTGTGTGTGTGTGTGTGTGTTACGTGTGTATGTGTGTATGTGTGTATGTGTGTGTGTATGTAACAAAATTAATGCGCTCACGTTTCTCAGCAACCGCTCAACCGATTTGGACAAACTCGGCGCCAAATGATAGGTCTTGGGGTCCCATTAAACGCTATTGAACGGTTTTGGAATCGGTGAACCGGTTCCGGAGATATGGCCGGAATAAGATCCGGTGAATATGGACCTTCACGCTGGATTTAACGGAAAACGTATCAAAACCATCATGCGACACATCAAATTACTACAGAATTCAAAAATAAGATCAATGCAAGTCGTGTTAAGTGTTCCAGACCACATTGGACACACTTGGACATGTTCCGGGTGTAGCCTCACCAAATAGACTACACCCGGATATATTCCGGGTACCCCCAGGCAGTGGCGTAGCGTCACTGGATGACACGGGGGTGGGGGGCTTGGTCACTGATAATGACAATAAAATAAATAAACTTGAATAAGTAAGAAGGATCTGATCACACCATAGGTGGATAAATTCGGGTTTTTTAAATTCAATATGGCGGCTTCCGGTTGGAAAAAAACTTGGAAATTTTGTCAAATATCGCACAATATTGGTATTTTTGGAGTCGGGGTGACGTGTAAGGGCTGGAAATCGATGTCTGTCAATTAAGTCAAATATCTCTTAGTATGGGTATTTTAGGAATCTTGGTCAAGTGTAAGGACTGGAAACCTGAATTCAATATGGGTCATTCCAGACAGGGTACAGGGTAAATATACTCAAATAAGGGTATTATCCAAGTAGCAGCTGTCATCCACAACTGTAATTTTATATACCTGCCAATCTATGGCTGTATTCCATAGGAACGTATTTTTCACTTTTAGGACCACAATTCAATTATGGACAGAAGTAAATAAATGAGGTAGTTATGATTTCATAGAATGAGAATTCAGCCAAGAACATGTGAAAAATAACATAAAAATATTATTGTGCCATAAGCGCGAAGGAATTCAAGAAAAATAAAAATATATTAAATACATTGATTTTTCACCATAAAAGTCAAAACTACCTCTCACTCATCTGGCGATAACTCAAAAACTATTTGTCCAAATCATTTGCCCTTGGAAACACATAAAGTAGAAGAGTTTTCCAAAGTGTGGTGAAAGTTTGAGCCCAAAATATTAAGAAACAAAAAATCTCGCGCATGGTGAAAATAGGCCATTTTATGACAATTTGGATACCTGCCGATAATCAGTCTGTTTACTGTAAGTACTATAACAAAAACAAAATGTTTTTACACATATAAGAATGTACATTAAAAAACCTTCAAGTTGACGTTCTTAGCGTTAGCGTTAGCGTTAGCGTTGTTATGATATACTTCGTAGATTGGATACTAGCGACACTCACGTCCCTTCTGGAATTCTCAGTTAGACTACTTTCAGGAATAATGCTGGGGAGTAAACATTGGTTCCAATCTAAACAAGAGTAACAGAAGCATGACTGTCGCTATTCCCGGCCACGCCCATCTTTACCATAACTAGGGATAGGGAAGGAAATGTTGATGTAGTACTTACTTAACGAGAGGCCACCGACTTAGCGACACCCTCATAAGTGCTACGGAGTTGGAGGGTTGGGAAGGGTATTCGGTTAGGATTCACCTCAAGTTGGCGATGCAACCAAAAGTATGTATTGTTTATTAAAAAAAAAACTTCAAGTTGACGTTCTTAGATCACGAATAGCTCATTTGGTTGTGGAGTAATCTCACCTGAAAGTTGAATTTTTTAAAAATCTCGAAAATCCAGGGTTGTAGCCCAGAAGGATCTAGGTACTTTAGAGCAAAATCAGAATTTGTTTGTTTGTTCAGAATTCCAAAATAAGCGCCTTGACCAAGTTTGGCTAAAATCGGTGACATCGACCACAGGTGGTGTACCCACTTGAGCTGGAATGACCCATATACCAGCTTCCGGTTAAAGAAAATACTGCAAAATTACCCTCAATATGGGTATTTTTAGAACGGTGGACCGGAAATCGATGTCTGAAGCCATTCAATTTGGCGGCTTCCAGTTAGAGAAAAACTTGTAAATTCTCTCAAATACCTCACATGAATTTCCGGTATCTACACGTCACCCCGACTCCAAAAATACCCATATTGAGGAAGCCGAAGAAATTATTGGCTGGAAACAATAAAAAAGTTGATTGAAACAAATTTAGAAGTAATAAAAACCGAAAACAACAACCATCGCCTATATAACTCTAACGTTCACATCCATCGACTGCAGCGGAGGTTACGACTCGACGATAAAATCGTCACTTCAGTACGACTTTTGTCACCGAAATACGACTGTGAGAATAAGGTGAGAGTTCATCGGGTTCATCCCAAGTGACTTTTCTCACCTCACTCACCAGCTGGAATCGGGTGACACGAGTTACTCAAGTCACCTCATCTCATTCGCCACGCAGAATAACCCTGTATGTCTGACGCCATTTTGAAATCCAAGATTGTGGCATCGGTTCATGAAAAACTGTGAAATATATTGTGGGATATTAAAAGTATTTTCCAGTTTTTATGTAACCGGATGCCGCCATCTTGAATTTCAAAATGGCGTCAGACATAGATTTCCAGTTCCTACATGTCACTGCAATCCCAAAGATACCCATATTGTGGGATATTTCACAGTTTTTCCCAGATTCCAATAATCGCAAAAAAAACTCGTTATTTGGAATTTACTTCGTAAAAAGAAAACTCGTTTTTTTGGGATTTACTTCGTAAAAAGATGGACGTAAATTGAATACTGCGTAAAAAAAAGACTTCGTTAATGGAGGTTTCAGTGTATTATGGCCGGTGCCTGCTTACTACCAGCAAGAACTTACAGTTCCAGCCAGCTTTCAGCAGTTGTTCTTCCTCATCAGCAGCCAGTCACTTCAAAAGGATCATCGCTGATCAAACAAGCTCTCCAAACTGTTATTCTTTTGAACATTTGGAATTTCACCTATAATGCAACGATCCCATCAGCATCGACTGATCCAGTAGTCGTAACAGCAGTCCCATTGAAAGTGGCCCCTCCAATAAAATCTGCCGCTACAGTTTCCGATTTAGAAAACATCTCCCCGGTTCGACAACAACCGATTAGCACTCAATTCCAGCTCCAACGGCAATGCTACCAACCATTACCCCGCGGAATGTTCAGCCAGAGCAGCCACCGTCATTTCCGAAGCCGAAGAGGAGGAGGACGTTGAAGTAACCGCTACCAATGTTTCCGGTGAGTGCCATCCTCGTCCGGACTTCAAACCCATCAACGAACAACCGGAAGAAATCGAAGTGAAAACCGGTCAGGAAGACGAAGAACAAATCAAGCCGACAGATTATCTTCGTCGACGGCCGTGTTAAGACCAAATACAGGATCGTCATGAGACGTGATTGAGCTCACAAGATCGCTACCAATCACTCGATATCGTCAGCGCTGTTCATAAAACACTTAGCCAACGAGAAACCGAAGTGGGGGCCACACACATCAAGTGCATAATGGAGGAGACGGCAACGCACATCCACTTCCATCGAAGTTGCCGTTCGAACTGCTGATCTTAGCCCTAGGAAAAGCCTCAACGGACAATGAAACTCCCTACGTCAAGCAGGTGGAAAAGGAATTCAAGTCATTTTTTTCCAATCGGCCCAAGTTGAACTCGTTGCTGATGCTGGTCAAGGGTTCGAAGAAGAAAGAACTAATGGTTAAGGAAGGCTGATGGAGTTTCTGTTTCTGTTCGGACACTTGCCAGTGAGGTGGAAACGCTGAAGGACGTGGCAAGTGACACTCAGGAGGTAAAGAAGCGGAAAGAAGTCGAGCGAGAAAAGCGAGCAAAACTCGATCGGAAATGTAAGTCACTCCTTGTTTCCCGGATCCATGACTCACAACTCGAGTATATCCAGGACAAGAAACATCCCAAGGACATTTGGGATGCACTGCGACGGGTTTTTGAACGACGCAGCATCGCGAGTAGGATGCACCTCAAACGAAAGATGCTGACTCTTTGTTTCGACAGTGGAAGTTTGCAGCAACACTTTTTGCAGTTCGATAAACTTGTCCGAGAGTATCGTGCAACATTCCTTGGTTCAAAGGTTTGGAGGTATGTCGAGACTTTATTCGTGTGATGTCTCGCCTCATGTCCAATCACTATTCACAGAGGTTCCGTATTGTGATGTTTTCCAGTATCCGGAGGAAGAAAAGTCATGCGATAATTCAGCTGAGAGTTACGTGCAATCGGTTGATAACGATGATAAAGTCGGAGAGACGGATGATGAGTTCAGAAGTTTGAGCACCGGAAGTGAAGATGCACCTGTTGAACCGGAGAATGAAGCGAGCAGTGCTCGTCAAGGTGAACCACGACAACAACGCCAGCGAACCTTGCCGAAGTGGCATGATGACTACGAGGTAAAATATGCAGCATATGCCCTGAACGCGACAGGATATGTTGATAAAGTTCAGAATTCCTTAGCAGAGGCCCAAAAGCGATCGGACTGGCGAAAGTGGAAAGCCGCTGTGGAGGATGAAATGGAATCGCTTCGAAAGAACAGTACTTGGGTTCTCACGAAGTTGTCTGAGAATCGGACCCCTATTACCTGCAAGTGGGTGTTCCGCATCAAGCGAGGGATTAACGGACAGCCTGACCGCTATAAGGCCCGCTTGGTGGCACGCGGTTTTAGCCAACGACGAGGGTTTGACTATGGCGAAACATATTCACCAGTAGCTAAACTAAACACATTGCAAACAGTTCTAGTAATTGCCAATCAAGAAAACGGTCCTCTTGAATGGAGAGCTTTCGGAGGAAATTTTTATGCCTCAGCCAGAAGGATACCAAACTGGTGAAAATCAGGTATGTCGCCTAACGAAGTGCTTGTACGGGCTCAAACAGGCTTCTCGTGCTTGGAACGAGCGTTTCCACAATTTTGTGAAGAAACGTCTGAAGTTTGAGAGAAGCCAGAATAATCAATGACTGTACGTGTGGAAGACCGGTAAGCAAACAGTAATGTTGGTGATATACGTTGATAATATCGTGATTGCTGGTACGTCGTTGAAGCTTGTTGAATCAGTAAAATATTGCTTGGCTCGTGAGTTTGAGATGACGGACGCAGGATAAATCAAATATTTCCTCGGATTACGAATCGATCGTGACGTGAATAACGGTTGGATGCATATAAGTCAGAAGCAGTATCTCGAGGATTTGCTGAAGCGATTCAAAATGGACAATTCCAAGCAGATTTCAACACCCATGGAAAATCGGTTGAAGCTTAAACGCGTTGAAGAAAAGGATCGGACTACACAACCCTACAGAGAGTTGATCGGATGTTTAACCTACGCAGCGATAACGACCAGACCGGATTTGGCAGCATCTGTAAACTTCTTAAGCCAATATCAAAGCTGTCCAACGGATCTACATTGGGCGCACCTGAAACGAATCTTGCGCTATGTAAAAGGGACGTTAGACATGGGTCTGTTGTTCAAAAGGAATCCGGATGCTGCTACGATGAAAGTGTTTATGAGATGGATAATAACTAGGTAGGTCATGACCTTTCATACTCATTTGGATTCAAGCGGCTGCACGGGTAAGTTGGACATTGATAAGCCCATGGTGATTTGCCCATAATTAATATCGGCGGATTTTCACATTCTGGCGATCCTGCCAGGAGCCGAACCTGGAATCTTGGAGAACCCCGATAGGTAATAAAAGGGCAAATCACCCACTTGCAAGGAAAATAGGATAAGAACGCGACTTCTGAACGCCGTTCTGAATGCGAGTGAGGACGGATTTGCAAAAATCGTCTCCTCGCCGTGGCAAAGCCACAGGAGAGAACGTGACCGGGACGGCCGTTCTGATAAAACGAGTGAGTCCTTCTTAATGCTGCTAACAGAATTGTAAAGGTAATCACACCGGAGGTAACGGAGCCCTCGACGGAGCCAATCTGAATCGCGGTATTTATAAACACGATCGGAACCACCAGCAGGGGATAAGTATGCAATTCCGGCAAAACCACGTAAGGATGAAAGTTTTGAAGGAACAACAAGCAAATACAAAGAGAAGGCAGTAATCAAACGTTGACAACTGGTATCTAAATCCAAGATACGCATTTGTATGCTGCTGGAAATTATTTGATTAAAAATAAATAGTTGAGAGTCATGGGAATGAAGAAGAGCAGCACTATTTATTTTTGTGTTGTTATTGAACAATCTCAGTGATTTCCAGGATCTCCTGTTTATTTATTAGACTGTTCAAAAGTTCAAAACCATGGAGGCAGTCGATTAACTCTCTCACCAAAACATGTTTAGCAAACATAGATGAATTCAGTACCCAAAAGTTAAGGCTAACACTAGGAAGTAACTGAAGGTCTATTGCTGCTTCTACTATCGCCAGTGGGAATTTTAGGTCGAATCCTTCTTGATTTCTAGGTTGTAGCATTGTCCGAGTACCATGATGATAATGTAGAGGTACATTTTCCACTTGCCGGGTGGGTCATAAGTACAGGTTTCGGCAAACGTCTACCAGAATGAGACACGGTAAAGAAATTTCTTGTCCTGGATGGACAGCTTCTGCCATCACTCACCCTTCTCCTTCTCGTGGAGGAGTTGAACTTAATGGTTGGCAACGGTCAGCGTATACTGGCTAACAGTTCCAGCAGTGGCCGACGATCTCGCGCTTACCAATCTTATCATCGTTAAAGCAAGAGGAATGGATGTTGTACAAAGAAAAACTCACATTAGTAATATTTGATGCACGTTTTACTTATTAACAGGACAGGCACAGTGATTACCCTCGTATATACTATGGAATATACACAGATATAGCTCGTTTAACCATCCATGAGAACTTGGCAATGTAAACAAACAATCACAAAAGTCATAACTGCAGGGTTGTCAAACTCATGGGATACTGAGATCGACAGCTTGATTGCCACACTTTGGCACACTCGACCCAACGCTTGCCACAGTTTTCGGCACAGATAAAGTTCTCGGTACAGATTGAGGTGTGCAGAGTTGAATACTTCTTGCATATGATAGTTATTTGATAATTTTCTTTTTGCTCGAGAGACGACGGTAGAGCATGAGTGTATGAATAAAAACAGAATGTCGCGCACGACAACGTAGCGAGTGTAGTAACAAACGTCAACCGTTTCAACCCCTGTGTCCAACAATGATCGCGTTGAGGCTTTGCTGCAGAAATTGTCCGAGTCGAACAGCAGATACTGTGATCTGGTTCTATATTGCTGTGAAAATCTCCAGTCGATTAACGTTGTCAAAGTGAGTTTTAATTCTAGACGCAGCCAATGCCGCCGATGTCGCTTGAAAAAGATACGGCGATTTGTTTTGCTTATATGAAAAAATGGGAAATACGTACTTCAAGTCTCCGCGTACATCGTACGGGTTAGGCAAAAAATGTGCGTCTATCTTTAAAAACTGTCGCATTAATGGCTCTTCGCTCATTTTCAACTTCTATTCAATTTTCATACTGCCGTACTCTAACGGAACTATCCACCTACTCTCTTCTAAAAAGATCATTCTCTAGCTAATAAATCATCACACTAAAGCTTCATGTTAGCATTTCCAACCAACTCCGGGAAATACTGGTTTTAATGTAAAAATTGTCACTGGTGGTTCAACACATTTTTTGTGGAACACAACTACAAAATATTGTTTTCTTTGATTACGCTAAAAAAACTCGAAAAAAAATATTAAAAAAAAATATGGAAATAAAATCAACTCTCCATACATTTTTGTATTAACACAATGCCAATAGAAAGGTGGGTGGCGCCATGATATTAGTGAAATTAAAACTGACAGCATTCAGTGATTCATTACCATTAATTATTGTTTAAAAAAACATTTAAAACTTTTATACCGAAGCAGAGGGAAGATATGAGATGGATAATAACTAGGTAGGTCATGACCTTTCATACACATTTCCTGACAGTTGGTGAAAAGTCATTTGGATTCAAGCTGCTGCACGGGTAAGTTGGTCATTGATAAGCTGCGTCGTGGGTGATTTGCCCATAATTAATATCGGCGGATTTTCACAGTGTTCTCCGATGCAGACTGGACCAACGATGTTACAGACAGGCGATCTGTTAGCGGTGCCATTTTTAAGGTGTTTGGATGTACCGTGCCGATTCAAATTTCGGACACTTAAATTCGAATTTCGGACACTTTTAAAAGTTGATTATCTCGGTCGAATATGATCCACATGTCTTGTAAATTTAAAATTTTTTTGACTAGTGCCCTCCACGATCATCTAACATTATTACTTTGTTTCTAACTGGATGTAATATTTAATTAAAAATGAAAGTGTCCGAAATTTGAATCGGAACGGTACCATAGCGTGGATTACAAGAAAGCAACAAACCGTCTCTATGTCATCGGAGGCGGAACTTGCTGCACTTTGTATGGCAGCATGCCATGAGCAGTGGCTGGTAAGACTGTTGCGTGACCTCAAATGTGATCCAGAAGAACCGGTTGAGTTTCTCGAAGAAAACCAGTCAACGATGCGTATTGCTGAAGAGTCTAAGGATTTCGGTCGGCTCAAGCATGTGGACGTTTTTTTTTCCTCTGTTCGGGACCTAACACTACTGCGACCAGTAAATTGATCTATTGTAGTATATCCCGTGTCCTTAGTTTAGTGCATGTCGTATTACTCCATCACTATTGAGAAATGATGAAGTATTCGATTTTTTTACAGTTGTCACTCTTGCATTTACCGCAAGGATCCGACTTTAATTGAAAGGTCCCGCTATTTATACCCTTCGGAGTGTTGGAACACCCTCCAAAGGCGCGCCCCTTTGTCAATCAAAATTGGATTCCTTAGCAACAAAATTAAGGTATGACACCGATAATGACCATGCATCAGAACCCTAGTCTTAACCACTTCAAACTAGGGAACAACGAATAGAAGATTAGGAATCACATAGATGAAGACAACTAACTCATTTTTTTTCCTTCTTTCAAGATCATCCTCGGTAGACAAAGCCGAGTCTTGTCACTATCAACAAGGCATAAAAAGTAACAAGGACTAAGATGTGTTCCTTGGATTACTGAAAAATCCTGTTCCCCTAGTCAGGAACTAGGGAACAACGAATAGAAGATAAGCAATCACATAGATGAAGACAACTAACTCATTTTTTTCCTTGTTTAAAGATCATCCTCGGTAGACAAAGCCGAGTCTTGTCACTATCAACAAGGCATAAAAAGTAACAAGGACTAAAATGTGTTCCTTGGATTACTGGAAAATCCTGTTCCCCTAGTTTGAAGTAGTCAGGACTAGGAATCGGTGGTAGATCTTACATCCCGTAACGTACCACGAAAAGGTGATCTACCCACATTACGGGGCATGTGGACGTTAAGTTTCATTATCTCCGAGATCTGGTGAAGTCAAAGAAGATCGTTCT